GCCGGATATGCTTCTTCGGTGGGTGGCCAGTACTCGGTGAGCATGAATGGGCCCACTCTCTACACATGTCTGCATTGTAGCTGCCAGCTGCGGCGGCTCTGTTGCCAATGAGCGGGGAGCTGCCCTCGATGGGGAGATGGTAGTGATTGCTGTTGCAGACTCGCTCGAACATGGAAGCCAAGGTGCTATCTGTGATGCGTAGGTTCGTTGGCTTCTTGATGTATTGTTCGTAGCCGTTGGAGTCTGGTAAGGTTGCTCCATATTGGCACTGGTCCACGTGTGCATCATAGCATTCTAGCTGTTGTAGGGTTGGTGTGTCCCAAGATGTCGCATGCTTGGGGTGTTCGAAGATGGACATTCGCTTTTGCTTGTGTTGCTTGTTGTGGATTGTCTTGCTGAACCGCAAGTGGGTTCCTTCTTCATGCTGCTGCTGTGCTTTTAATCGTTGTTGATCTGCCGGTGTCTTGGCATTCAATCGCTGCAATGGGGACCATTTGGTGCAAGGTGGCGCAATCCAAACGATCTCTGGACTCTGGTGGTAGTACAAGTGGATGAACTGCCTTTGGTGGTTGGGTTTGGTGAAGTCCCATCCGCTGAGGATGTCAAAGGTGCGGACTTTGTACCCGAGTTCTTCCATGTGTGTTGCTAGCACTGCATCGCCAGCATAGACTTCCCAGAATTGCACCTGGCGGGTGTCATGTGCTGCGAGTGTTGTCTCAAGGGTGTGCTTGTAGTATCGTGCCAGCTGTTGTTGATGTAGTCGAAAACTGCGGACCAGTTTGTCCGTCAGAGTTCTGCGATAGCCGGTGTCGTCATCATCTTCTGGGTCTGTGGTGTCGTTTGTTTCCTCTTCATTGCTGCTGCCATCATCGTTGGCCTGCGTGGCTTGTTCTCCCAAGTCGGGAGGTGTGAGGCCGGTGAGCTCAATGTAGTGCTGAAGTGTGTAGTGCTCTGCTTGTGCAGGGTCTTGTGTCAGCAGGTTGTAGGTCTCCTCCATCATGTAGTCAAACTCATAGCTGCTGTGGTCTGGTAGGTCTTGCAGACCTTGGTCGAGTTGCAGGAGATGTTCTCCTCTGGAGCCGGTGATGATAGGTGTCCATGGACCTTCATCAACTCGCATGGTGTCTTCCATGAAGTTGAGCTGGAGCTTCACGGCCTTGAGGATTGGCCTGCCGATCAAGAGAGGAGTTGAGCCAGAGACAACGAAGGCCTGTGTGCGGCCAAGGTGGCCTTGGATGCATACTGGCATGTGTACTGTCCATTGTGCTTCAAGGCTGTTGTCTCCGCCGAACTCTTTTGCGCAGGACGGAAGTGGAAGCTGGAGACATCGAACCCTTGTTCGTGGTAGCTTTCCATGTGGTTCATGAGGATGTCATGGCCGAGGACCATGCAGCTTGCCCCACCATCCATGGTGCCGAAGAGTCCCTTTCAAATGCGCTGGTAGTCCTTCATTTCGATCTGGACCATCATAGCTGTTTCGGCTTTGGCCTTTTTGGCTGCATTGGTTGGGCTGTTGGTGGTGCTTCTCTTTTGAGTGCACTGTGCTGCCAAGTGTCCAGGTTTGGCTTGGTTCAAGGCAGAACGGCCTCGACTCTTGGCATCACCCTTCTGTGGAGGTGATTTGGGGCCCTGCCCTTTTCCTTTTCCTTTTCCTCCCTTGGCGCAAGGAGGATATGGCCTCTGTGAAGCTGTTGGATTCGAAGAAGCTGCACTGTCTGTCAGTGCGACCACTGGATAGAAGCCTCTGTTGTTGCGCAGCTCAGCAAAGCGGCGCCTTGCGTCCAGGCTCATCGTAGCCGGTGTAGTTGACTGCGCTTCTTCAAACTCTTCTTCGTATGCCTTGTCAGCATACTCTTCATGGTTTTCTTCATAGTAGGCCTCTTCGTTCTCAGGCTCATAGGTCTCTTCAAAGGCGTCCATGTAGTCGTCCTCGTACATGGTGTAGGCCTGAGCTGGTTTCTTCCATTTGTTGAAGCTCTTTCCTTTTCCACCAATTCGACGTTGTCCTGGCCGTACAGGTAGTACATGGCTTCTTCAACTTTGCCTTCTTCAAGGCTGGAACCACATTGGCTTTGCACCAAGTGTTTCTGGTCTTGTGACAGACCGCTTCTTCTCAGCATCAGCCAGCCAGTGATCTCGGTCGGCAGCTTGACTCCATGTTTTTCGACTTCTCGTAGCGCTTCTCGATGTTCAGCGCAGTACGACATCAGTGTCTGGTCGTAGCGCCTGGTGAGGCTGTAGAAGAACTTCTCGAAGGATCTCGGCTGTTCGACCCTTGCATCGTAGCAGAAGGTCTTGTCGAGGATTTCGATCACCTTGGTGAATCCGCCATCTTTGTCTTCGCTTGCCGACTCAGCTATCGGCTCGACTTGCTTCCAGGCTGTTCCTGACAGGGTTGTCAGGAGGTTGATGACTCCTTCTTGTGGCTTCTTTTGCAGAACCATCTTCTTCTGGTAGAGGTGAATTCGAGCCCTCCATTCCTTGTAGTCTTGAGGCCGGTTGCTGAAAGTAGGCACCCAAGAGTCCTTACTTGCATCCACACTCGAGGATGCTGCAGCAGATGAACTTGCCATCGAGCTCGGCCGTGAGGTAGTAGCTAGCAGCAAGCTGGAGCCCTGAGCCTTGCGGCTCCGCTACCAATTTGAGGTTGGGTAGCTCAACCGTCAGGAAAGTGACTCTCGAAGTTCACAATCACAAGTGAAAACTGTCTCTCAAGCAGCCGCGGACTTTTCGCGGACACGTGGCCATGTGGCTCTCAGGTTGCGCAAGCCCTCCCAAGCTAATGGGAGGAAAACAAGGACGGTTCGAGCATGAAAATTGAAAAGCGGCCAGCTTCGGCTCTTCACGAAACCTTATGCAGCTGCTACAACATGTGATGGCATCACATTCACAGTTTCCATTTCGATCGTTCATTCTAAAAGTGCTTTACGCAAATGGTTTTGCGACCAGCCAACCAAAACCAACAGATCGAAGACCCTACTGTCACTATGCCATGACCTTGTTTTATATTGTTTTTCTATGTTTTCTTATTACAGTAACTTGTTGTTGGCAATTCCTGGCTTGCAAGTATTGGCAGGATCTGCGGGATCACACACAGGGCCTTAGGTACTGGGCAGATCCTGGGGGGTGTTTCCACGCACATAAATAAATCAACATATATATATATATACATATAAGTCAAGCGCCCACACGTTACTTACTTGTTTGCCAGGCCATCCTGTTTTGTTGGCCTTCACCTCGATGTTTTATTAACATGATGGATTATTTTTCTTTTCGAATTGGTGTGGAACAATGCCCTTGAGCGTCCTTGACTTCAAAGACAATGCAGGATTCGCGAGATCCACATCAGGCAGAGCCACTTGCTTTGCCAGTAATCTGATATTAGCTAGTTGTGAGAGGAGGCCTTGAAATGTACAGGTACCTCAAAAGGAGCGTGGCCACCTGACACCCGAAGAGAAGTTAGGCAACTTGTTCGAGTTGAAGAGAACTGGATACTCTTTGCTGTCACAAGTGACTTGATGCTTTAAGCTCTGTGGCTCTCCCAGTGTTCAAGTAACTCAGTGCTCAGACTACCGTGACCTGAAGTTCGTCGAACATTTGGGCTCTGACCTTGGCATTTGTTCAGCGTTTTGAGACGAGAAAAGACCCTTAGGCCCTTAGGCAACGCAATAAGGCATGAACCACACTGAACAAGACCCACATGCAAACGTGCACCAGAGGTTGACCTCGTTTCAGAAGTTTTGAGGTTCTGGAGAATTTGGACAAGTCTTTCGTGGCTTTTACCGCGGCCAGGAGGCTTTCAGGGGTTTTTCCATGTCCAACACTCTTTGCTCGAAGTGCATGATAGGTTGCTATCAAGCAGCTCTACTGGGACAACACTGTGCTGCCACAGGCTTGGACTAGACAGTATCAACCGGATTGAAAGCGCTTGACTAGATAAAGAAACAGGGGTATCTACGAATCAGATTGACCGCTCTGACTTCTAAAAGCTTCTGGATTCATGATGATTCATGCTCCTTTTTGATCCTTTTTGCTTTGATCCGACTCTTTGACAGGTCATTATCCAGGATTTGACTCGAGAGATCGAATCTTTCAGGCACCGAAACTACTACAGGCTGTGTCGAAATAATGGCTTCGTTGCCAGGCATTTGCGACACAAGCGCTTGGTGAACTTCGTGGGGGCATGTCTAGAAATCCCAAACCTGCTTTCATCTCAGTTTTGAATATATATAGTGTTTTGTAAGTAATGTCAAATTAAATGAGTTGCTTGGCCTTTGGAAGCGACAGATCCTCTAGTTTCATGCTCTGAGGTGCATTGTAACAGAGGACCTTCAATCAGCATTTGCGTTGTGGCTCACCTAGTCACGATAATGTGTTATCAGCTTTGAGTGGCCTGACATGCCCCAGCATAGGAAATTCGATATTAACGACAAGTCTACAGTAGACAAGCTACCAAAGACGATTTTTAACTAATTACAGTATATACTAATTATTTGGCTACGTAAAACATGTGCAACGTTGTGAACTGCAGTATGCACCTGGTGGATCCTTGCATCACCTGCTGCATGTGCGGAAACTCCACTTACCGCTTCTCGGCACACCAATGACAAAACACTTTGCTGACTAGAGACTCTGCGAACGCAATTCAAATCTAAGGCTGCTGCACTGCACAAATATGTTGGTGGCCTAGCAAACAGCTCATTGTACAGCATAGCGATGCATAGTGGCTTGCCTACACATTCACCAATCCTGTGACGCTGTCCATCCACTTGGCAAAGCTGGAGGGGATCTGTCAGTTGAAGTGCAAGATGTAGCTAGAGTTTTCTGCCAACCCTGCTTATGGAAAGGGATGCCAGTCTTGGGCCACACGACATCCGTTACAGCAGAACGGATGAGAGCACCCCACTTTTGATCGGAGATGTTTGTAACTTCCATTTGCGTTCTAGGAGGGATGTTCCTTTGCGTGATGACAACAGACTCGTCTGACGGTTCCCAACTGCTCCAACTCATGTATTATGTGTCTTGTTGGCCAATGAAAATAGCATTTACGTATATCTGGTCGAGTGTTGGAAGCAACGGCCCAATCGTCCAAATTGAACCACAGCCAACTAACAAACCAAGCATCGACGATTTGCGATTCAACCAACATTGCATTTCAATAAATTGCTCCGTGTAAGCGCAGCGGCTCTTAGGTGCTTGCAATTGGCGGAAGGCGTTGCTTATTTGCACTCTCAAAATCCAATTGTTGTACACCGGGACTTGAAGGCCGACTGGGCTGGGGGTGGTGTAGCTCATTTCAGCTCAGATGGGCTGTGAGCATTGTGAGCTCTTTCATGCTCTTTCTGCTGAGTGTTTTTCCCGAATGCGTAGCGAAGGGTTCCCGTTTATAGTTGGGGGTCTGGGGGTTGGAGCTGTGTTTGCATGGTTTGCGTCGTGTCGTCGTCTCTCGTCGTCTCTCGTCGTCTCTCGTCGTTTGTCGTCGTCGTCGCGTCTCAAATTTGCTGCCATTGGGGGAAGCTTTTGCAAGTGACTTTGCATGGATGCGTCATATGTTAGTTTGCCCCGCTATTCCATTGTGATTTGCATGACAATGACATGTCGCGCAAGAAACGTGATGCATTCTGCTGCACAGGCGCAGCGTTTTGTGAGATCCGCAGTTTGCTGCGCAGCTCCATTGGGATTAGCGTTTGGGGAGTCGTGTTTTTGGGGTGTTGGATGTGGCCGTGCCATTGGGATTTGCGTTGCAGGGTGTGGCAGCGAAGCTCGGTTTTCGTGACAAGTCTCAGCTGAAATGGCGATTTTGGTGGATGGGAGTGTGCTCAGAACGGGTCGAAATCATTCCAAACGTGTGGTGTGGTGCAAATTTTGTTGAAGCTCACGTGAGATGATATTGTCACTTTTCGTGGCAGGTGCAGGACTTTGTGCGGGTTTTGAGGTGTGGAAGTGCGATTTTCGTAGCAGGGGCAGGGAATCGTGAGGTTGCGAGGTGTGACGGAGGTGACATTTCGTGGCAGGCGCAATACTTTGTGCGCGTTAAACGTGTGGACGCGGAAAGATTCGTGGCAGGCGCAGGGAATCGTGAGGTTGTGAGTTGTGGTAGAGGTGAATGTCGCGGTCACATTGGGATTGGCGTGTGAGCGTATGTTGTTTGGAGGGGCTGGAATCGCGAAACTGCTTGGCAGGGCTGCGTGCTGTGTGTGCTCCGATGGGTGTTTCCTCGTACGAAACGCTCGTTTTGCACTTTGATGTGTGAGTTTTTGAGGAAGTCTCGTACGAAACGCTCGTTTTGGAGACTTGACGCGCAACCGTCTGCGGAGATCGTGCGTGTCGAGTGTGCGAAATGCAGGCGAGAGTGCGATTTGTCCCATGCGCGCGCAACCCTCTGCGGAGATCGTGCGTGTCGAGTGCGGGAAATGCAGGCGAGAGCGCGATTTGTCCCATGCGCGCGCAACCCTCTGCGGAGATCGTGCGTGTCGAGTGCGCGAAATGCAGGCGAGAGTGCGATTTGTCCGGTGCCCGCGCAACCCTCTGCGGAGATCGCGCGTGTCGAGCGCGCGAAATGCAGGCGAGCACTGGCGACTTTGTGGTACAACTTCAGTACGCGGAGTATCTGGGGAGCTGGAAGATGAGAACTGGTGACTTGGTAGTACAACTTTAGTACCCGGAGCAATCTGTGGAGCTGGAAGCTGAGAACTGGCGACTTTGTAGTACAACTTTAGTACGCGGAGCAAACTGTGGAGCTGGAAGCTGAGGACTGGCGACCTTGTAGTACAACTTTAGTACGCGGAGTATCTGGGGAGCTGGAAGAGTGTCTCACAAGAGTGTCCCACAAGAGTGTCCCGCAACAGTGTCCCACTAGAGTGTCTCACAAGAGTGTCCCTTAAGAGTGTCCTACAGGAGTATCCCACAAGAGTGTCCTACAAGAGTGTCCTACAAGAGTGTCCCACAAGAGTGTCCTACAAGACTGTCCCACAAGAGTGTCCTACAAGAGTGTCCCACAAGAGTGTCCGACAAGAGTGTCCCACAGAGTGTCCCTCTGTCGTACAAGAGTGTCC